TAGTTGAGGCAGGAAACCTCAAAACCTTTCAAAAATAATCGCATAAACATTTGAAATGTCATAACATTCAAGGTTATGGGCCAAGCGCTGGAAAGTGGCACTGATGTCGATTTAGTTCTGGCAGGACAAACACGATGGGCTCCAGGGCCTGTTCTGTTCTATGTGGCTCTGTCATTCTGTAATTCTGAAGTTAAGGATCTGAATTAGTTTGTTTATTTGCCTTTGTTTTAGAAAATATTACTGAGTGTAAGTTCCAGCTGTTGTTGTGGTCGGTATTAACTTCAGGTTCTGTATTAGAGTGCTCATTCACAGATAGAATTTCCTAAATGAGTTGAAAAGCTGAATTAACAAGTAAAGCAGTGGTATGCAGTAGAACAGCTGTCAAGGAGCTCTACAACATGAGGTATGGAAGGACTGACTAGCCTCAGCAAAATGAATGTCATCACTGAAAAGAATATCAAAAGACATCGAGATATTGATGGGACTGATAGTGAGTGAAATAATGCAAGTTTTGTTGTTTGAAGACAGATTGCAAATAACATTTGAGACCTTTTCAGATCAAATTAATCTAGTCTTTGGGGTATTAAAACACAAAATTAAATCTCAATGATATGACATCATTAAAATAAACCTGTTGTTGTAATCTGTTTGTTCAAAATGATAAAAAAAATTGAAGATGTAATCAGTTTCCCAATGGAGATACCACGCAATACAAAATAATGTCTCTGGAACCGTGTCAGCTCCAGCTCTGATAGAATTCTCCAATTCCAACTGATTGTGAGCAACAGGAAGGGAGAGGTTGACAAACAGCAAAATGTGTCTACCAAGGCAAGTGATTGCTAAAGCATACTACACCATCCTTGCTTTTGTTGGTGTTCCTGGTAAGTCTTGCAATAATGTAAGTCGTATAAATTTCTGCATTAAATCATACTTACTTCAACCTATGACTGATCAATATTGTATTTCCACTTAGCCAGGCAAATTCCAATTCCGGATGATAGTACAGTTACTTTTACTGAGTTTAAACCAGTAATGTGCAGCATTGTCTGTTTCACTATACTGTGCAGAATAGGTTTCCACTGAGGCCACATTGAAGAAGTTTGGGTGAGCACCGGTCCTAGCTGGTCTAGAAAATGTTTAGCAAGACCACACTCTCTCTGTGGTTCAACGTCTGCTATAGGCCAGATGGGTTTTGTAACAGCCCACCTCTTAGCAATAGCTGGTGTTTCCCATTCCTTAATGTAAAGGGATTTTGTTGGTGGGTCTTGCTCAGGCAGCTTGCTCCAAATGGGAGCCCAGACATAAGGTAGGCAAAGGGTGGGTTCAGTAGGTCATTATAGGGTAACAAGTGAGGGTCAGCACGAATGACTTTGAATTTCCTGGGCGTTTTCATTAGTCAGTGGATGTGTGGGGTTATGGTATTTGTGAGGACAGATGACTGGGCTAATATGAGTTCCTAATGTGTGATATCAATGCATGTAGTTAACATTTCCAAACTAACTGAGACATAATTCCCAAACTGAGAAAAAAAAAACTTTTTCTGTTGCTCACAGGCACTCTGCATTATCCAGTGATTGACTGGAATGTTGTGTACTGTTGATCCAGATCTCTAGGAATCACTCTGAGTGAAGGTATTACTTATCATGGCATTGTACTGAATGGGGATCACAAACCTCAGCCTGGACCCAGATTGCTGTGGCCTCATGATACTGAGAGGATGTGTCATTTAGAATAGTACTGAGTGTGGGTATCTGCTTGAATAGGAACTTCTGACCCAGTATCCTTGCTTTTCTGTGGATATCTGTAAATGCAGCATTGTAGTAAGTGTGGAGCACTAACAGGAGACTACCCATGACTCTAATTGCAACTATTATTGGGAATATCTTTCACTGTCGAATGGTATTGCATTTGGGTCAATAGCCTGAAGGGAACACCAGAGTCCAAAGGCAATGTGATTCAGTAAGCATCTTTCAATCAGAATTTTAGTGAGTGTGGGTTCCTAGCCAAAGGGGAACAACTAACCCCAGTGTCCCAGTGGGAGCATCTCTCAAAGTACAATTACACTGTGTGTGGGTTACTAACTGGAGAGGAACAATTTACTGCAGTGGTCTTGTGCAAGAGAGGAGGATCTCTGACTAAAGAATTTAACTGTATGTGGGGAGCTGAATGAAATGGAATATCTGACTATAGTCATAACTAGGACCATAACTTGATTGAAACCATGAGATGCATCATTTATATTACATTTCTCATTTCTGATCTGTTTGCTGATGGATCTGTGAGTGTACTTTGGAAATATGACGATTGTAAATGGGAAAATTTTTGCATCTGGTTGGAACTGTTCGGTACTAACTTTACAAAGTGAAATGTCCCATTGGAGATAAACAGATATGATATTTTTCATAAAATGAAAGTAGCAGAGCAAGAATGTTAATTTGATCAACTGTCCCATAGACATATTATGTTTACTTCAATAATATTTTTGGAGGCTGCTTAATCTTTTGGCAAGGTTAGTACAATTTGTGGAACATGGCTACTCTACTTCATTATCACAGCTAGAAGTGTTACCACTATTTCTCATCTGTATCTGATTATATTTTGATTAACAATTTTTGAATCAGTAATTCATAATATTTCCACCATTAATTTTCCAGAGATCGCCACTGTTCTCTTCGTCATGTGTGTCCTCCTTGGAAGGAAGAGGTTTTGATGGGAAATGTACATCAGTTTTAAGGCAATATATAAAAATTTTAAAAATGTAGTGATAGGAATAAAAATGTCTGATCAATAATTAACACTAGTACCTGCAATATTATGCTTATGATCAATAATCGAATTGAAGAGCAGAATACAGAACGTGGTACATTAAATTCTGAAAATCATGAATGAGAATATTTGACCTTAGACATAACAATTCGATTCTGCCCACCATCTGTGTACTTTATCTCACTACACACTTACAAATCCAATTTCCAAAATTGTGAGCATTTCTCTTCTTTTTGTGTGATAATGACAAACATTCTGACTCTGCTGGGAGTCCAAACTGGATCACACATTGCCCATGTTTTGTTCCACAGCCTCTAACTTTCGAACACAACCACATGTTCACTCTAAAGTGTGACAGACTCAGGATCGCTTCACTTGCATTTACAGAAACATTGATTATCTGTTCCTCAATCAGATGCGCCTATTTTATAGTTATATTTAAATTTCTGAAAAGAACAGTTCCACTCTTAAGTAGATAAATTACGAACTGTATTCACAATAAGGAGCCCTTGAGAAATTTCAGTAAATGAGATTGCAACTCCCTTCAGTACCACACTGACTACAGGTGAAGATGGTTATAGCTGTTGGAGGTCAATCATCTCAGCCATCATATATCTCTGAAGGAATTCTTCAGAGTCATGTCCACGGCCCCAAAATCTACAGCTACCACATCAATGCCCTTCCCTCCATCATATTTTCTAAATTGGAGATTTTTGTTAATGATTACTCCAATCCCAGGGAATGGTCTAAAAAGGGGAGTAGGAGTCTGATGGGGAATTTGGTTGTGTATGGGGAGCTCCATTTTCTGTTATTCATTAAAAAAATGTAAGCATCACTGACTAGGCCAGCAATTACCATCTATCCCTATTTGCCCAGAGGGCAGTTAAGAGCCACCATATTGTGGGTCTGGGTCACATGCAGGTCAGACCATTTAAGCATGAAAGCTTACCTTCGCTAAAGGACACTCATGAAGAAGATGAGTTTTTATTCCTGACAATTAACCACAGTTTAATGGTCACCATTAAATTGCTAAATTAATTTTTTAATTGAATTACAATTTCATTATCTGCTATTGTAGACATCAAACTCAGCTCCACAGAACATTACCCAGGTCTTTTAATCAACAGTCTAGTGATAGACCCATTAGACTATCACATCCCCTAATCTTTAGCATTGGCCTGAATTCACAGAGGCAGTCTCTGATGCCAAGCAATGCTACAATGTTTAATCTCCCAGAACAAGCTGTGGTTCAATTCTGGTGATTTCAATGGAGAGTGCTGGTTTAAATATGGGGATTCCTAACCTCAGTGGGAGGGTCATCTCCATTCACAAGGAGATGACCTGGGAGAGGAGCCTGAGTGTTTGGCCTGGGCATCAAGCAGGAAGCTTTGTTTAATTCCAGGTAAATTGTGTGATTTCCAAACCTGAAAGTTGCAATGACCAAAGTTGCCTGGATTTAGATTTTATTTGGGTTGGGGCTGTGGTGTACAATGTTGGACATATGGACGGATCCATACCAAATTTTGAAGTTCTTACAATTGTGGTGGGTATCCGACCTGACACATGGTGTTTGGATTCACTGCTGAATACCTTTTAATTCAGATAGTCAGGATGTTTAATCCTATGCAAGAAGGAGGGTCTCAATGTCCAAGCATCTGTTTGTCCATATTGTGGAGGGCATCCATTCCTGGGCACTGTGGAGTGCCTGTCATGTGGATAAACAATTCTTCAGGCAATCTGAGCTGTGGAGACTCCAAAACCAAATACAGGAAATGTGCAATCAATGTTTCTGTCAAGTGTCTACCATTCTTTATTTCACTGATCCCGGGTGTCTTTGTGTGGATGTTGTGATCTTCTGGGAAGCTTATGGGAAGCCAGTCAGAGTAACTTATAAAGCAGAAGAAGTCAACTTGTGCCTACCCCAAAAATTTTGAGTACATGACTGTGTTTCTGGGAGTCAAAATGATTCATTTGAGAGATTTACTGTGGTGGTTCCGATGATACGACACTGAACAACATTTGTGCTAAATTCCATCAGGCATAAAGAATACTTGAACAGTAACTTCAAGTCTCTTTTGTTCTTTCTTTTTCTTACAGTTTGTCTTGTGGTGATTGTATTCTTGTCTTGGGATAAGTGTGGTCTATCGACATGCACCACTCGCTATCTGGTAGCCATGGCAGTGTCTGATCTACTGTTCATTATTTTTGATGTCATACTTATTCGGTTTACTTACTATTATTATCCACGGTCTTTCCTGAACATCACTGCTGTTTGTAGTGTGAACAACATTCTCTCCAACTTTGCAATTGATTGTTCTGTCTGGTTCACTGCTGCTTTTTCTTTCGATCGATTTGTCGCCATTTGTTTTCATCAGATGAAAACTAAGTATTGCACAAAGAAAACTGCAATGAGGGTTCTAGCAACAATCTGCATTTTCTTTTCTTCAAAGAACATTCCCAACTACTTTCGATTTGAACCTAGTGAGATCACCAACAATGTTTCATGGTATTGTTATAGCAGCTACAGTTATTATTATGACCGTCGATGGGCAAGTTTTAAATATTTTGAAAAATTTTTAACACCGTTTTTCCCATTCACTTTTATCCTCTTTATCAACATTCTGACTGTCAGACACATCTTCGAGGCCATTAAAGTGCGTAAGGGACTGAGGGGTCAGAGAAAAACAGAGAATGACCCAGAGATAGAGAGCAGAAAGAAATCTGTGATTTTACTCTTTGCCATATCCGCCAGCTTCATACTTCTCTGGTTGGTGTATATTTTATATTTCTTTGAAACTGGTTATTCCTTGGATACTGCTGCTTTTTATCTCTTTGAGCAACCTGCATATATGCTGCGGAACTTAAGTTGCTGCACAAATGCATTTACTTATGTGGTGACGCATAAAAATTTCAGAGACCAGTTAAAGTATGCAGTGAAATATCCAGTTATAAAGATAATACAATTGACGAATAAGTCCAAGTAACTGAGATCCAATATTAACTGCCGCGATAATGGAATGAGGAATGGACTGAAAGGCAAAGGAGGAGTAGCAACTTGATACAACTCCTTTTCTAATGGACAAGGAATGCCTGCATCTGAGCAGCAAAATGAAAGAGACTGCAGGAGCAAAGCCAGTGTAACGTGCTGTTAGCAATGAGCAACCTTTAGTACAAAGCTAAACAACAAAAACATAACTGACAGAAGAATTAGACATGCCATAAAAATTAAAATTCATCCCAAGCAACAGTTCTCAGTGAGTGAACAAGATACAAAGAAAATGACCTGGAGGAAAGTATCATTGATCATTACAGGCCAGAGTGGGAAACCCACTCTTCCTCACTGAATTCTCTGATCCACAGATCTGGACAAAAATTAAAAGAAAGGTTTCTGTCACAAAGAGTAAATATTATACTGTAAATATTCTGTGTCTTTTGATTACAAATGTATTTTCAGCAATACATTGTCTGGTTTCATTCAGTTCCCCCGGCCTGATGCTGATATCACTCTCTTTCTTTATTCGTTTCTTTCCATGAATCAGCTGCTGTGTTGATAGGAAATCAGGTCCAACCTGAGGGCTCGGTGACAGATGTGATCTGAAGCTTAGGAATGGATTCAGGTGGGGCAGATGGGGCGACATCCTTAGTGCTTCCATGAAAATGTTTTGTAGATCTCACTGACTCCATCAGAGCTCAGTGGGAACTGACTCTGGATGAATCCTGTTTCCATTGTGGCTTCATAATGCAGCCTTCATATAATCATTGCTTCCATCTGCAAAACAGACCCATCCCTGTCTCAGCTCATAATTGGTGAAACAGTCATTAATTCCTTTGTTACCTCTGGACCTTCATATCCAGCGCCATATTGGCTTGACTCCAGATTATAAACTCTATACATTAACTTTGTCCAAATTTCTTCAGCCCTCCTAGTTTACTTTCCCAACAAATCCCATCCCCTGATCATCCACTGACTGCAGTGACCTACACAGGCATGTTGTCCTCCAAATTCTCGATTTTACATTCTTACTAGTCTATTCAAAATGTTCCAGGGTTATCCATACATTTCTTTGCTTTCGTGGAATGGTGTATCTTGCTTTGTAAAATCTCTATGGAAGTGTTAGACTTTCTGCTGTGATGTAAATGTTACCAGCTGATGTGGTAGTAAAAAAATATGCTACAGATTGTGATCCATCACGTCAATGAAATGGCAGATAAGAATGCCAGAAACAATAGCAAGTCAGATGATTGAGACCAATGTAGGACCCAGCAAAGGATGACCCAGAATCTGATTGAGGAGGGAGAGAATATGAATGCAGCCTTCTCTTGAAGTTAAGATCCCTCGTACATTCCCAGGCCATTTCCAATCTCATTTGACACCTCCCCAATAGCACTGGCAAACCAGTTTATGAGGATGTTCTTTCCAGTCCTGCCAAGATGTAAACTGTCCATCTTGTTGAGATTGTACCTGCCCCAGAGCTGGCCCCATGCCTTTGAAGCATGCTGCCTGCCCTCCTGAATCAGTTTTTCAACCATATATTCAAACACTCCGCTTCAATTCTCACCTGCATGTGGGACTGGCAGTGATTCTGAGACTACTGTCTTACAGGTCCTGCTCTTCAATCTTAGTTTTTGCTACCTGAAATCTGTTCATGGACTACATCTCCCCTTCCTACTGAGGTCTTTGACACCGATACAGAGCATTGCCTTTCTCTTTTGATCCTGCTCCAGCAGAATTTCCAGCAGAAGCCAGCTACTGAACTATAGCTCAGTCCCCATGTTAAAACATTAATTGCCTCTTTAGTGAACCGTTCCCCAGTATCTCTGGAGGGATTTAATTATTTTTTTCACAATGTTCAGTGGAACAAACAGTCAAGAAGTCTGTTTGTGGATCGAGAACCATGACCTAGAAGTAAATTAAATCCAGAGAGTCCAAAATTTAACTTAATGAACAATTTTGCACACAAATAATGCTGAAACATTCGGGCTTACTTCTGTACATGGCCATTCCTGCTTGATTCATTGTTTTATTTTAAATCTGAGACAAGTAAAATTTGGTTAAATGAGGATGTGGAGACTTATGATAATGATGGAAAATGGAGTAAATGGAGATGATTGCCAATGAACTGCAGCATCAGTGAATAAGAGGACAGACTCCAGGGACCAAAGTGTCTCAATAACGGTAAAGGTCAAGGAATGGAACCTCAGCTTCTAAAAGGGTCATTTTCTAGACTCAATGTTTAAACTAAAACATTTTAGATCAGAACTTCAGCTTCTACATTATTTCACTCTTACATTCATGTTTTGCCGCTCTTTTTTAAGTAATACTTTATTTCCCCTTTTTTTTAAATTAGCATCACAACTTTTGCATTGTAATACACTCTGTCTCATGCATTCCAGGGTCACAGAACTTCACTTTTGAACAGGAAGCCCTATTATACTTTTGGTTTAAACCCTGTTGCATTTTCAACTTCCTTCAGTTGGGATAAAAAGTTACCCGCTTGAACCATTCGTCTATTTGACTGCATCTACTCTCTCTGACCTGCTGAGCATATTCAGCTGAGCATTTTTATTTAACAGAAGAGTCCAGGAAGTAAATGGACTTCTCAAAAATACTTTTGCCAAAAAAAATTGAGACCACATCTGCAGCAGTTGTGCTCTCCACATTTCGTCAAATAAACTTTCAGTGCAGGTTGCTCAGCATCACAGCCATAAACATCACCTGCCTCCATCCCTGTCACTCAGTAGCAGCAGTGTGTACCATAGACAAGATGCACTACAGAAATTCGCCAAAGTTCCTTACACAACAGCTTCCAGACCCATGGCAGTATCAACTGGAATATCAAGTAGAGCAGAAACATGCAATTACTGCCTGTTGACAATTCCACATCAAACTGCGCGCCACTCTGGCTTGGAAAAACACCTCGGTTCCACAAATGCCATTGTTTGAAAATCCTGGAACTCCTTCTCTTACATCATTGTAGGTTTTCCTGCACCAAATGAATGTCAGCAGTTCAGGAAGGCAGCTCACTGACAAGTCCTCCAGGTCAGCTATGTACGATCAACAAATGCCAGCCCAGCCAGAAATACCACAAACCCATGAATCAATTGCAAAAATCCATTTCACTATTTGTTGCCAGAATTGCTGTGGGTCCATATTCTTGGGTATCAGAAAATTGAAAAGCGATCTCATTGAAATGTATAATATTCTGAAAGACAGAGGCTTGATAGGGTCTTCAGGTCATACAGCACAGAAACAAACCATTCAGTCCAACCAGTCCACCAGACTATAATCCCAAACTAGCCCTGCCTGCCTGCACTTGGCCCACATCCCTCCAAACATTTCCTATTCACTTACTTATTTAAATGTCTTTTAAATGTTGTAACTGTACCCACGTCCACCACTTGCTGTATAAGTTCATTCCACACACTCTGTGTAAAAGATTCCCTCATGTCTTTTTTAAATCTTTCTCCTCTCAGTTTAAAAATGTGCCCCCTAGTCTTGAACCCCATCCGATGAAAAAGATGTCTGCCATTCACCTTATCTATACCTCTTTTAGCTTTTTAAACCCCTATAAGGTCACCTCTCAATTTCCTACACTGCAGTGAAAAAAGTTTCAGCCTAGCCAGCCTCTCCTTTAACTCAAACCCTCCATTCCAAGCAACATGCTGGTAAATCTCTTCTGAACCCTCTCCAACTTCATAATATTCTTCCAATAAAAGGGCGCCCAGAACTGGATACAGTACTCTAGAAAAGGCCTTACCAACTACATGTGCAACCTCAACGTAATGTCCCAACTCCTATATTCAAACATCTGAGCAATGAAGGCAATCATGGTAAATGCCTTCTTAACCACCATCCTTACCTTAATCTGCCATCCTTATCTGGTCTGGCCTACATGTGACTCCAGACCCGCAGCAATGTGGTTGACTCTGAACTGCCCTCTGGGCAATTAGGGATGGGCAATAACTGCTGCCTAGTCAGTGATGTCCACATCCCATTAATGAATAAAGGAAAATGACTTTATCTATATGCAATGCAAACGTCAAAGAATTGTGTTCTTGAACCACTAGGTCTCCCTGTTCTGCAACATTTATAAGGTCCTACTTTTAATTGTATACGTCTTGTCTTTGTTTGTTTTACCAAAATGTAATACCTCACATTTATCCAATTAAATTGTATTTTCCACTCTTCAGCCCACTGACTCAATTGATCAAGACCTCTTTGTAACCTTAGATAACGTTCCTGACACTGTCCACTATACCACCTATCATGGATGGTGTCCTCCGCAAATTTACTAACCATGCTTTCTATATTCTCATCCAAATCATATATTCAAATGACAAAAGTGGCCGCAGCACCGATCCCTGTGGAACACCGCTGGTCA